ATTACGAATATATATATATAATCAAATACTAATTCTCGTTATTTAAAAAATACCAAATTTCTGAATTTCTGTTATTAAATTGAGTTTTGACTTAAACGATTAAATAAATAATTATAGCGATAAAAAGGAATGTAATTAAACATTTATTTTGCACTACATATTAAAAATTAAGTATTAAATCTATAAGCATCACAGTATTTAGCTGGACTTTTTCTCATATGTATTATTTTGTAAAAGGTTTTTATCCGAATCTTTGGCACTCTGTTAGCTTCTTGCGTTAAAAATATAAACAGAAAAAGAAATAAAAAAAATTTCATAACATTTTTTAGACAAACAACTTTTGATAGCAATTTTTTTTTAATTTCCGATATTGGGATAATGATACTATTCATTATATAATAATTAAATGCACTTTTAATCTGAAATTTATAAACTTTTCTTATCGGTATTTGTAAAAAACTAAACTTTTTTTAGAAAATAAATTTGTATTGAGTAAATTTTTGATTTATTAAAATATTTATTCTTCACCAACAGTTTCTATCTGCTTATATCTAATTAAATTAAAACTAGTATCTGCTTTTGACTAAAATTTTAAAATTTCACTGAACTAAGCTAAAATTAAATTAAATGTTTTGAAGCGTTGTACCTTTAATTAGATATTAAGAAAAAAGTCGCTTTAAGAAACAATTTTTGTCGAATTCAGTGAATTTTATAAAAATTTTTAGTATTCTATTTTATTAAATACCATATTACTACATGTTCTTAAGTTTATAAAATTCTATTTTTTCATCTCTCTCAAACATGTGGAGGTTTTTTTATTTCTTTTCTTTTTAAAGAAAAGTAATACCTCCTTTGATAAAGTTTTCGTAAAAGCTCTTTGGCAACTTTGTTTGCACCAGTTTTCCTTGAAGTAGTTCGAAAACTACTTGGTACGAAAGTCAAATCTGCAATCGAGAAAAGAATTGTGACCGAGAAACTGCCATAAAAGGTTGGTTTATACCACAAACTTTTAACTTTTTCTCTGGCCTCTCCAAACCTTTAGCCGAAGAGTTAGATATTTAAAGAATATATTTTCTCATGAATAAAACTGCATTTTTTATATTTATTTTGTGAGGTTCAGAGGTTTTATGTTTCTTTTATAGTCTTAAAAGTTATTTATTCCCTCTTCTGAAAGTTGTTAAGAGCTTTAGCAAATGGAAAGTTACAGAGATGTATCTGATTAAGGTCTCGATGTGTTAAAAAATTCTAAACAGTCTATTTCTTTATTCAAAGTTCAAAATTTTAAAGTACTTTAGTTTTTTTAATCTATAGGTGTAAATGTAAACGTATCCTTTTATTTATTTATTTTTTTCAATTAAAGTTTTAATTCTGAAAGTGGTAGAAATCTCAGTTACTATTTAAAATATCATTTCATTTTATTAATTTGAATTATAAATAATTGTTATGCACTTTTTGATTATTAATTATTTATAAATAGGCTGTCATTTGTTCAATTCAATATAAATTGTCAAGTCATTTCTAGTTAAATTACGACAATTATACCATTTTCATAGTTTTCCAGAATTGTCCCTTGAATTTTGCAAGATAGTTATCAATCCCTGATTGAAATTTTTTTTTAGCAATTCTCAATCTTTCTGCCACAGAAGAGTTCCTTACTTCCTTCCGTATCTATTCCTTAACTTTGATAAAAAGTCTTTTTTATATATATTGAATATCTCATAACTTATTTTTGTTGAGCATGCTGTCATTTTTTTTCTTAATCCAGTTCAAATTAAATAATTAATTTCATTATTTTACAAGAAGTTGGTAATTTTTGACTACAGTGCTAAAATACAATTAAATTATCCCCAGTAGCAGGAGTATCTTTTTTTATACTCTAATTACCTACGGTCTGGCTAACCCTGAGAAGATATAATGCTTGGTTACACTCACTTTCTTTTATGGTCATTTCGACAAAGTCGGACAAGGCAGGTTTTTTCCCTTGATTTTTCTAGTTCAAATTGAATCTCAATTTTCTTTAAATGTTATAGTTAAACTAAATGTTAGTCAGCAATAGTTAAACTATTATAACTATTCCGCAGCAATTTATTCATGAATAATTATATATGTATTATCAAGCATCATTTCAAAGGAAATTTAGGTGAATTAATGGACTCTTCACAAAAATTTTTATATTTGTAAGACGAAACCTTATCAAAATATTTTATAGTAGAACCTGACTTTTAACAAAATAATTTATCATGAAAACTAACCTTTTTCAAAATACTTAAGCTTATAAACCAGAATATCCTTAGTACTACTTTATCTTATGAACAGAAAACGGAGTGGATGAAATTGAAGTCTTGAAGTTAAATTGAATTAGTTTTGTCAATGGAAAGTGCACTTAGTATTTATTTAGAATTTTAAAAATACAACTCATCGAAAGAAATGGATTTTATGTTTGTCAACTTTATTTTCAACTATAGGACTTTATTTTCCAACATTAAAGATAAAAAATATATGCATGGAAATATCGTTTTAAAAAAAATCAAATGATTTGTATTTTTCTTTTTTTAAATTTCTGTTAAATGTTCCTATTGAATCCTTATTTTCTTCACTAGTCGCCATAAGAGAACTTTATTCTTTATGTTCTATAACATTTCATGCTATAAAAAAAGTTTTCACTCGAGCTATCTTTTAGCCAATAAACATAAAACATTATTTTCAATATAAATTTTCCCTTTTATTTTGTAAAAAGAACAAAAGCGTCGCAAAATTTTGCACAATCACTTTACTTGTCCCCAAACTTACCGAAAACAATTTACGCCATTTCTTTTCGAATCAAGTCTTTCATTTTTTTCCCTTGTACTTTTTATATCAATGCATCTGTGAAAAGTGCGTTGCAAGTTTTTTATATCCTACGAATTTTCCCTGCAATATTTTCCACGGGGTTATAAAAATCAACAATAAATCCTGGTAATGATATACAGTTAAAAAAAAAAAATTCTTACAGCTAACCATTCGCACTTTTTATTGTGATAGGACTACTGCCTATTTACATAGCAGGTGGTTGTGAATTTGAAATTTATCCCATTTCTAAAAAAAAAGGGGAGGGGAGTTTTTTATGAAGGTAAAAAGGGCAATTTTTCGTATGAAGTTATTTTATCAATATTACTTCTCGTCTTGTGATTCGAATGTGTTTTTGTGCTCAATGTTTTATCTAAGCAAAATTATTCGCTTTAGTTGCAGGTATTTAGTTTATCAGTTACTTATACATTTCAATCTCGTTACATCATGTAATATATTACTGAATTTTAGACAAGCCCATTTGGAAAATTTCTAAAAAACATAAAACAGTTTACAAAATATCCTTTTTTTAAGAAATTCTATTAATTAAACATATAAGAAAATAATAAATAGTTGAATATTTAAAGGAAGATTATGTTACCCAATATTTTAATGTGTGTAGAGTTAGATTTAGAAAATTACTCCCAAAATCTGTTTACAAAACATTTATATTCTTTCAATTATAAAAATGCATTCAATAAACGATATAAAATAATTATAAATAATTAAAATGCTAGTGAAAAGACATTTTTGTGAATTTTTGATAACGAAATTTAGACGCCAAAAATCTGTTTTCTCAATAATTTTTTCTATTATTAAATCTATTAAATTAACGTTATAAAACAACGCTAAATACGCTGTTGTACTTGAAGAGCTAGGAAGAGAATATTTCTATATTTTGGGTGATTAGTAATAGTCAGATTTTGAAAATTAATGTAAATAAAATATTAATGATGTAAATTGTAATTTAAAAAGTTACGCTATTTTTAGTTATTTTTACTACTAGTTCAGAATTGAAAGTGATTTTAGGTATCAAAACATCTAAACATTTAAATATTTTTTTTTTCTTTCTTTCGCAAAGAAAAACTGAAAAATGAAATTGGTAAAGAGGATCAGCTGTTTGTCTTTTAAACTGTTTTCTTTGTTGATAAAAAAGGTTTACACATGTTCAGATACATCAAAATAAATCCTTGAAAAGTGGGATTTTTCTCTGTTGGTCTAACAGTGTCCGCCTAATCGCCCGTGACCTAATGTGACCCAACACTTTTGACGTCAAATACACATGATGTCAGTTCTAAATTTGCATCCCTTCCATAATACTTATGGCGCCCAGCTTCTTGGCTGGAAAAAAAAAATATTTTTCTTTCTTTCCACCCTATATTCCTATCACACTACGATCCCACTCAACTTCAACATCTTGACACCACTTGTTTAGAACTTTTCCACGCTTAGAAAACGATTTTTTCCTGTCAAACAGTAAAAAAAAAAAATGGCGTCTACTTTTTTCTTCTCCCGCCAATATTTAATGTTTTTTTTCTTTATGGTTGGCCGGCACGCAATTTTTGAATGTCCCAATTTTCTTATTTTTCTCTCCCCCCTATGCGTATTTTTTTCTTTTCTTTTCTTTTGGCAAAATGTGGTTTCTGTTGTTCTTTACAACTAAATACTCTCACCCTCTTTCGCAAAAGACGATTAAGTTTTTTTTCTTCTTATATATTCTTTCAAAAGATTCATGCTGAGTTGTTTGGATGCTACTGCACTCACTTTTGACCTGATATTTCTATACGTATTTAGCCGAGCTGACAAGGAATAGAATAATATAAAACTGTTACAGATGTGTTATTACAGCAGGATGTTTAATTTTTTAAGAGCTATAAACACAATTAAGTGCTTACGCTGTGCTTTTAAATAAAATGCTTTCATTCTTGATGGATTGTAGAGGACTTAAATTTTTTTTCATCTTGCAGTGCTCTTGTTGGTAAATAGAAGATAAAATTTAAAATATTATTGATTAATTTATTTATAAATTTAAGTTATGTACATTTCAAGAATTGAGCATAATTCATATTGATATAGTTCTTAATTTATTATTGACAAATATATCAATATATTATATTACATCAAACTATTCTTTAATATTGCTTCTGAATTTTCCACTGCATATGTTACATTACAATTGAGTTTCTATTTTTTTTTTTTTTTATCTAAAAACTCTTTAAAAACACTCTGGAATAATTTGAAAATGTTGCTTATCATTATATTGTCCCAAACCGTTTCATTGCACACATTCTAAACCTGACACTCTCGATCTTTTTTTTCTTTAATTCGTAGTATACTTGAGAACAAATCGAAGATTATGCCGCCATGTTTATTTCGAAATACAGTGAAACCTCTCGTTAGAGATCACTCTCTGCTCCACAGTAAAATGGTCGTTCTTAGTGGTTACTTCCCTTCACTTCAAAATGTTATCGATGGTACATGATTTTTCGCAAACGATTTTAATTTTACTCAGTGTCATTTTCTTGGTGCAGAAATGCCACTTGCATTGGCTTCATAAACCGGATTGATGAATAAAATTTAGCGTTAATGAAAGTGACCCTTACTGGTATAATTATCTGTAAAAACAATTCCACTGTACGTGTTTATTGTTCTCAAAATTGTCGGCATCAAGCTTTTATTTTGTACCAGATTTGTTTTAGCACAAGAAATAAAATTTCTTAAGAAAAATTGGCGCTTGCATAAAGAACAATTGTTTCTTTGCGTAATCTGGGAACTTTGTATGAAAGGGAAATTATTGCAATGCTTTGATTGCTCAGTATTTCAATAAAAACTATTTTCTTTTCTCACTGAATGTTCTAATGATTTATTGTTTACTTTTCAGATGATATAAGCGATGAATCCTGTGACGTTGAGCGTTGCGGGGGTGCCAGAACAGGAGGTACCAGCGGCGGCCGCCCCGGTTCCCACTCACACATCCATCTCTGGCAATTCCTGAAAGAGCTCTTGTGCCAATCCCACTTATACGGCAGTTGCATACGATGGTTGGACAGACCAAAGGGCATCTTCAAGATCGAAGACTCAGTCCGAGTTGCTAGGCTCTGGGGAAAGAGGAAGAACAGGCCAGCAATGAACTACGACAAACTCAGCCGTTCCATTCGCCAATATTACAAGAAGGGGATCATGAAAAAGACTGAAAGATCTCAGAGACTGGTGTACCAGTTCTGTCACCCTTACGGTCTCTAGAAATCAAACAAGAAATGTCACCCAGTTTTTGAATGTAGCTGGTTTACTTCAAGAACTGGACAATTTCGCACATGTATCATAGACTTTGAAACTCTGTACATTATTTCATTTTTTTCTATTAATATATATATTATGAATGGAAAAAAAAGTGGCTGGTTCCACTCTTTTTTCTATTCTTTTTCCTTTGCGCCTAGTGAGGTCTTGGGTTTGGGAAGGTATAATTCCCAAGTGCACCCAATAGCCACAACCTCACTATGGTTTCAAACATCGATTGTATAATTATTATCGCTTTTTCAAGATTTTTTTTCACTCGTGGCTAAATTTATTGGGAATTTGCTGTTTACCATCCTCGCCCAAATATTCCAGTTGAGTTCGGAAGATTTTTCTTCCCATAATTCCTGGTTCTGGGTTGTGGATGTGCAATATTCCTGATGAACGTTGGTCCCATATATCAGTGATATATCAACACGTATGTTCTAAGAACACCAAACTTGGAGGCGGTATTTAGCCTCCACAAGTTTAATATTTTTGTATTTGTGTGTGTGTGTCTTCAGGGTTCTGTCGGTGTCCGGCTGTCTCGTCACCGTTAACCGCCTGGTGCGATAACGGTGACCGCGAGATAGTCGCCGTGCTAGAGCCTCTTCTCACCCTTTCTGGCCCGTCTATGTTCGATCATAAACGGTGCTATAGCATTTAGTCCATTCTAATACTGGGTTTGGGAGTGGCTATGTTACTCACACACAATTAGTTGAAAAAATGCTTATGAAAATTTTATGAGACTGACTGTAACCCTCTATGGCTCAGTGTTAATATTATTCTCCTAAAACTGTGTTTTAGGCTTTACAATACAGTTCGAAACAGTTAAAAAACAGTTTGCCCATATTTGTTACCTTACAAATTTATTCAAAAAATTTTTTAAGGTTAATTGTTCATTTTTGTCAAGTTTAAAAGAACTGGTTTCTAATTAACTATTCAAATTTAAGCATTTAAACTGTAAAATGTAAAGTTTTATTGACTAGAAATCCTATTATATTTATTAATCTAATATTTGTAGCAGTTTGCATTCACATTTTTTCTCAACATAACATTATAATTTAAGAAATAGTTTTAGTCAAATATTTTATTGCATAACATTATTATATAAGAAATTGTTTTATTAAAAAATCTAGCCGCATTGAAAAGGCAAAAACTGATTACATTAAGCTATAGAGGGGATATGACTAATAAAAATTATCTGTGTATATTTTTGTAATAATTGAAAGTTGATCTTGCAATTTAACATATCATGATTAATATATTTGTAATGTAATGACTAAATCTTATTTGATTTATGTATTTTTTTTTTCTTTTGCCATTATATATGATTAAATCGTAGGCTATATTTTGTAGCTCTACAGTAAGATTTGAAAAATGAATATGTGAACTATTGATTCAAGAAGGACTTGTATTATGATATTTCATTAAAATGTTTTGTGACACTAATTGTTTTGTAAGTAATATAGTGACTCTATGTTATTCTTTATAATTATATCTTACTATTTTCTAGCTTCATAGAATTGATTAACCTCTAACTTAATTAGAATTTTATTTCCTTCTCTCTGTACTTTTGGACATTTGGTCTTGACTTGAACTTTTAATCAAATAGATGGGATTAGAGATGTTTGAACTGTTATCAATCTTGTAGAAATGGTACTTTTGTATATTCAAACTATGGACGTTGCAATAAAAAAATTGAAAATGTCACTTATGTTTTTACTTTAAAACACCTCACACCTACACGCACCTACTAATTTTTCATCTTTTTTATCGTCACAAACTAATTGAGTCAAAAAAAAGTAAAAAATTCTTCATTCATCAAAGAAATTTTCTAATATTACAGCTAGTTTATGTCATAATAATCCTTTAATAAAATTAAGATTTTCCTGTAGATTCTTGAAGACTTAAATGCAATATTTTATATATAATTTTTTTATTATTGTTTTACTTTTTTGAATTTGAAAACTAAAATTTGTTTTATAAATGTACCCTTGAGAAATAGCATGCGAGCTTACCACGCCAAAAAAATTTAATTTAATGTCTGGGAAGTGCTCTTTATACGAGAATAAATGTTTTTAATGGAAATTGGATTTTTTTTTTATATCAAACACCTATCCAATGATTTGACCAATTTTGATACGCAATAATGCATTTAAGGAATAAGATATCAAAATTGTGTTGCTCGTGCAATGTAACAATAATATGACAAAAATATTCATGATCAGTTTTTGTGCATTGATCTACATTTTATGTGTTTTCATACAGTCGGCGTTCAGATTTATCTATTTAAAAAAATACAAGAAAGTAAGAGAAAGGCACTTAGCTTGAAACACTCCTCTTAAAATTATGATAAAAACATAAAAATTATTATGAAGTTCATCAATATTATATCTAATGTTCATGTGGCCGGTGTAATGAACCAAGTTTTAAAAACTTAAAAGCACATCATTGTTCACAAAGCTGCAAAATCTGGAAGAAGTGTTCTAAAATGTGATACTACGAAAACATTAAATGAGTAAGATCCAGTTATAATTTTGGATCATTATTATTTATAACAAAAACGAATATACAAAGTATTCGCCTGCATTTGACTTTTCTGTCAAATGTAAGCGAATTGTATGTACCGTTAAAATATAATAGGACTTCAATGACGAACTCAACAATGAAAATTTTCCCCAACACCAGCAATATTTTCAGTACGTAGATAGCTTCTGTTATCTCGCTGTCGTCTTCACACTGTCGACAATGTAGCTTCACGATAAATTGAGAAAAACATAAATGCTGATTTTCGCATGTGATTTATATTTTTATTTTATTTAAAGAACTAACAAGAAATAGGTATTAATATTTTCATCTTAGGTTAACAGAGTTGATTTATTATGATTTTGACCACCACTACTTATAAATAATTTAAATAAATATAAAAAGTCGTACGAATAATCTAAAAATATTATGTGTTAGTAGAATTAAAATATTCCTACCTAGTAAAATCACTTGTTATGTCACTACCCCTACAAAGAATCTTTACCAAAGAGTGTACAACACGATAGTTATGACTAAACCACTTGGCTGCTTTTTTTTCTTTTCCTTGTTAATGAGTACTGATCTAAAATAGAATCAATACTCGACTATTTATTTAATATTTTTAAGAAATTATTTAAGCAAACTGGCAGTTTTATTAATAGAATAAATACATATAAAAAAGTATTTATTCTAATATCAGAATATTGAATAAATTATGAAATAGATACCTATTTATAAAAAGTTGCATTCTTATTCCCTGTCAAACTATTTGATTAAAAGAAAACAATTGAATTTAACAACAAAAAAATGTTCTGAACATTTATATGAGACGTTAACGTTTAAACGTCTATGACTATTCCAAACGTTTATATATACTTCCTCCAAAACCATAATTCTGCTTGTTTGATTCATTTTCAGCTATTGTATACACGGAAAAAAACTAATTCAGAACTAGACTAGATGATCAGACGTTAAACTATTTGATTAAAAGAAAACAACTAAGTTCAACAACAAAGAAATGTTTTGAACATTTATATGAGACGTTAACGTTTAAACGTCTATAACTATTCCAAACGTTTATATATACTTCCTCAAGAACCATAACTCTGCTTGTTTGACTCATTTTCAGCTATTGTATGTACGAAAAAAAAACTAATTCAGAACTAGACTAGATGATCAGACGTCAAACTATTTGATTAAAAGAAAACAACTAAGTTCAACAACAAAGAAATGTTTTGAACATTTATATGAGACGTTAACGTTTAAACGTCTATAACTATTCCAAACGTTTATATATACTTCCTCAAGAACCCTAATTCTGCTTGTTTGACTCATTTTCAGCTATTGTAAACAAGAAGAAAAAAACTTATTCAGAACTAGACTAGATGACGCTTTCGCCCTTGGAATTCCATTGTCTGACGTCTCTATAAGTCTATACACTGTCGAAGTCTAGGTTAGATGGGCAGTTTAAATATCTCCGATATTTTTTAATATATTGCAGCAGATGCTGTTTAGCAGGAAGCAGTTTAACATGCTTATCAATTTTGAAAAAGAATTGCATTTATAAAACTTTAAGTTTTATTTTATTTAGGGGTCAAATATTTTTCATGAATTAAGTATTCTCTTTCAATGAGTAGGGTTTTTTTTTTCTACTAGCTGAACCTTTAAAGTCACTTAAATAGTCCAATCATTGTTCATGAGTAAAAAGCAAAAGGAGTGGCGATATTATTTTGAAGTGATGACATAAACTTGGCTATCATCTCATAATTCGTATCAGAAAAATAATTTGGGTCCTCATTAGACCAATATTCACCAATATTGGCTCAAAAAAGGTTGAAAGGACCATTATTTTTCCGATATTTTCTCCATATAAAATTGTCCTATTCAGCCGATATTTTAAATCCACTTTACAACCAATAGTGTCCCTATATAGAATTGTCAGAGTTTATATAGGGTCAGATATGAGCCGCGATGGCTCAGAGAATAGAGAGTTCGTCTTCCAATGAAGCGAACCGGGTTCGAATCCCAGTCGATACAAATTCCGCATCCGATTTGCACCGACCACAGTGCTGACGTGAAATATCCTCAGTGGCAGACGGATCATGGGTTAGAGTCTCCCTGCCGTTAGGCTAACCGTGGTAGGTCCTCGGGGTCTTCCTCTCCGTGTAACGCAAGTGTGGGTTATCTCCATCAAAAAGTCGTCCACGAAGGCAAATTTCTCCTAATACTCGATCCAGGAGTTCCCTTGTCTTCTGGATTGGATTCAAAATTACAAGGCTACGGAGTTGAACATTAGTAGTCGTAAACCCATAAAATTGGGTCTGCTGTTCAACGACGGCTATAAAATAAAATTATGATATAGGGTCAGATATTTAATAATCATTATTCAGTCAATATAGGCCCTATGTAGACCATTCTAGGGCCCATATAGGCCATTCTATGTCCAATATTAATCTAGGCCCAGTCCGAAAGGCAAGAAAACTACTTGATCAAGTATTGAAGAAATTTGTCTTAGTGGAGGTATTGTTTATAGAACTTACCCACATTTGCGTTACATGAAGAGGAAAATCACGAAAACCTACCACGGTTAGTCTGATGGCAAGGGGACTGACCCATGATCCGTCTACCACTGAAGATATTTTACATCAGCACTGTGGTTGGTGCAAGCCGGATGCGGAATTCTTGCCAACTAGCCATCGCTAGGGTTCAAACCTCATTGGAAGGCGGATGCTCTATCCCCTGAACCATCACGGCTCTTTAAAATATACTGTTTTAGATCTGTGTTTTCTTTCAACTCAAAGAAATTTCCTTTCATTTCGGCAAAAAATGACCTTGCAAATGAAAGACATTGGCTCGCGTAATTAATTATAGCAAATATAAGTACACAGTTTGATTTTTATTTATTGTTCTATCAAAAACACCATTCAGATAATTAGCTTACATTTTTAATGTTAGCTTATGCTGTAATGAACATTTTAATATCTAATTCACTACGATACTTGAGAAGAGGCAATACCTATATCTACTCACACTGGAGCAATATGAGTTTATTATACTTATACATTGTCTTGAAATTTGACTGTACGATTTAAAATCTCGTAATAATTGAAATTCTACTTATTTAAAAAGGCAGACCAGATGCTCACCGAAGGTTGCTAGTAAAATATAATTTTAAAACTTTTACTCATAAAACGATGAAAAAATTCCTTTTTTCAATTTAATTGTTTTCCAAATGATTAGCAGTCCATTCAAAATAGTTAATAGTACATTTGGTTAATACGTTCACAATTTCTTATAATAGAAGTCTGGGTTTCCAAAAAACAAAAAAAATAAAAAAAATAAAAATAAAATAAGGGGTTGATCATTTAGGTTTCCTAAATAGAAAAAAAAATTGCGAACCACTGCCTGACAGTATCATAGCTCAATAAGAGAAAAACCTATATCGGTTTCATTTTTTAACACAAACGATTGTCACTACTACCGTTAACGTATTTTTAATTAACGTTTGCGTCCTTCAAAACATTGTCATGATTTTGCCAACCATTCTTTTGGCTACACCATAAGAGTTTACTTATGTTGTCTTTCATGTGTGGTAAATTTCTTAAAGCAAGAGAAGAAAAAAAATTCAAGTGTACCTACGACATGCTGCATATTTTATTTCGTTTTAGAGGTTATTGCGTGTCGAAATAAGTCCGATAATTCTCATACACCCTACATTATGTTACAAAACATTCCTTGCACTAATTGCTGATCCTACCAATTTTTCCAAGAATCGAGTTATATAATGATTTACATAAATTTATCACTATTAGCAAGTTAAGACGAGAATTGGAATTTTGATCTTCTTAGAAAAGAAGATTCTCGTGCTGAGAAGGCACAGTAGGTTCGTCTAAATATTTTTTTCTCTCATTTTTTGACCCGAGGCAAAATGATCTCCAAACTAAATCGTCAGGTTGAACACTTCTAAGTAAAGGTAGAAAATGACCTTCGATTTTTTTTTCCACGTTGTTCTTGGACTTCTTGCTCGCAGCTTAGCTGGATGAGATTGCAAAAAGTTACTTGAAAAAAAGTGGGTTGCTTCTTGAAAGAAAAGTTGACGTTTAGTGACGAAAAAAAACGCATTTATTGGTACAGACCACTAATTTCATTAATTGATTTTAATGAATCTACTTTTATTTAATATT